TCAGGATGGCTACTTGACCCATTAGCCGTTGGGCTCATTTGGCTTATCCCTTATTATTCTCAGAAGTTCTTCAGACCCTAATTGTCATCTTCCTGGCTATACTTTGTCGTTTCCATTTGTTTATGGCATTTTCGTATGTACAGAGATTATGGTAAATTAAAGGTAGTCAAATTTATGAATCCTTTTCTTTAAGGTTTGTCATTTTTGTGTCATAAGTCCTCTTTCTATTCCCCCACGGTCATAAAGATGTTCTCATATTTTAGTTTTATGTTTGATTTTTAGGCCTTTCATTTCACTTGAAATTGATTTTTGTGTATGATATGAGTTAGAGATCCATTTTTGTTCTTACTGATAACCAGTTGCCCTAGCATCATTTGTCATCCTTTCTCCAGTGGTTTTCGATGTACCATAAGTTTTTGTATTCATGGATATGTTTCTTGAGTCTCTGTTCTGCTCCCCTGACTTGCATTCTTCTTGTACTGATACCACACTGCCTCAATTACCATAGCTTTACAATAAATCGTGAAATGTGGCCAGTTGAGCACCCAAACCTTGTTCTTCAAATTTTTCATGACTGTTTTTGACTTTTTGTTCTTCATAAATTTTAGCGTCAGCTTGACAAACTTGTCTCACACACACTATTCCACTGTAATTTTTATTGAAATTATGTTTAATTTACAGCTTAATTTGGGGAGAACAATTGGGGAAGAAAATTTCTGTTTGAAATTGAGTCTTCCCACCCATAAAACATAGTTTATCTCTGTTTACTTTGAACTTTAATTACTTTCAATAATTAAGAAAATTTCTCCATAAAGATGCTATATATCTTATATAAGATTTATTTAAGAAACCTTATATTTTGTGTTGCAGTTGTGACACGTTTTTAAAAATTAATTTTATGAATTCATTGGTGGCATATAGACACAATTGATTTTAGTATGTTGTATTGATATATTGCCATACACTTTTATTATTTCTAAAAATGGAACTATGGAATCACTTGGCTTTTCCATCGACAGTCATATTTGTGTTAGTAATCAAGTTTTCTTTCTTTTTCAGTATGTAACAAATAGTGTTGTGTTCANGGGGGTTAATGAGAAAATTAGCCTATATTATATTTTACTATCTCTAACAATAGTAGGTGTTTCATAAATAGTTTTGATTTTTGAATAAACAAACTAGTTTAAGTAGCATTCGGAGGTTTTCTTTTGGATACCCATCCAGTATTGCCATTAACCTTTCAATCCAAACACACGTTTTCAGCCTGAGCTTATGAAATAATTTCCCAAACATAAGTCAGATGGAGGTTATTAATTTCAAAACATATCATTGAGATATTCTGGATATGGAAATATGAAACCAAAATATCATAGTTTTAGATGCTGTGTGCAAAATTACTATACCGAGGCAATATTTTTCTAGGTAGATTTCATGAAAGGCAGGTTCCATGGGTAATTACAATGTGTTATTTGAGGAGTAGGTGGGCCACCTGTAGTCACGTAAGCGTGTGAAACACTCAGGTAAGCAGAGTTTCCTAAGAATCAGTTTTTCCAGCTTTATCTGACCTGGGGAGTAGTATTTTGTGGAATGCACTTTGGAAAATATGGTTCTGCCATGATTGGAAACTCTAAAAGCTACCTATAGATGAGGTATTCATGAATCTTCAAAAGGAAATATTCCAAATTAAATGAATACATAAGTGTGTTTACATGTAATATTGAGTCAATATAGGTGATTCTCAGTAAAACCAATACTTGTCCTTTGAATTCTACATCTGTGGGACAGAATAAAAGAAAACACACAATCTTTAGCTCTGTAGGTTCCTGGGGAGACCGCTTCAGTTGTCACCGTTTCCAGTCGTCATGTAGTCACCGTCTGAGGGTGTGCCAGCACAAATGTCTGTCTCTGTGTGGGAGAGGTAACCTCTTCTCCTGGTAAACGTGCTGTGGATCCTTCCATCTACTTCTCTCACTGTTCTTCCCTGCAGGCTATTTAATGTCCTGCGGTGTTTGTTGATAAATTTTTAAGTACCAGGACAGACTAACAAAAGATGAGCTACCAGAGGTTAGCTTTGTATTTAATCAACGTACAGCGGTGTTCCCTCATCCTGGGTCTTAACTATGTGCCAAAAATTTTAGCTGCAATTGGCCCCGGGGTGTGAGTTCAGCATTAACAGCAATTTGATGAATGTTCTCTATTTTATAAACTGGCATTGCCACCTGCTCCTAAAATCTTTTACACAAAGTAGGAAGTACGGTTCTGTTCTTCCTGTGTTCAGTTGCTTTGTGAATGAGCTT